GATGCCTTCCATGCTAGCTCCCGCCTTTATCTATCTTGGGGTCCAGGATGGAAAATTCAGTCCCCATTAAGACTAAGCGCGAAGAATCAACCAGGAACGGCCCCACCAGACGGAACGACCGAAACGCACTACTGCTCACGGCAATATCAGCCACGATCAACCGGCTACGGCCCACCGCGCCCATATGAACAAGGTCTACCCTCGCATCCAGGGAACGTTTAACCAACAAGGAAACACCTCTGGCCTGCTGAATAGACGATAAAGTAACTAGACAGCATACGAGCATCAGTCTCGCAAACAAAGTGTGTCTCCTGGATCGCAGCCACATCCACTCCGAAGGACCTGAGATCACAAAGCAGGCGGGCAGCCTTACCCTGATCTCTCAGGCCCCTCACATTCAAACTGGCTAGCTTAATAGACATAAGTTCCCTTCAACACAGACTGGCCGTAAATCTAAGGGGGTCAAGACTCCAACGGATTGTCCAAGGCTTCCTGTTCCAATGTCGGTCGTAACTCGACCATCCTTGACAATGCCGCCAACGTCTGTCGAGAAGGTTAGCTTCAGCGCCCTATATAAAGAGGGGTGGAGACGAACAGGGTCCCTCCCAGCACATGATTGCGATAATTTCTTCAAGTCCGGTGACCTCATTTGGGCCATTCTAATGTTCGGAAAGGCTTCTTTGGCGATTGCCAGATAGTCCCAGACTCTCAAATTGCCTCCCGTGTTGCGGATGAGCGTAATCACTCCGGGGGCTTGTGGGAAATTTCTGGGATCCTCTGTCGACTTCCCATCGACAGGGGTACACTTAAAAAGGGGTCTTAACAGGGTTTTTTTTTCGTGCAGACAGGTCACTTTCAAGAGCCTGCCTGTCGATACAACTAATATTCTCCCCACCGGGGAATGGCTTTTTCTTTTTTTGGGGGGACTGGTTAGGGGATGGGTTGGGAGGGGGAGAAGGAGAAGTCAAAACCTTAGACGCGAAAGCAGAAAGGCTCCTTGTCTTACCTTTGTCTTCTGGGTCATTGGTTTTTGCTGGCGAAGTAGGGGTCGATTTGTTCTGACCTGATTTCTCCGCTCTACTTCGGCTTGTCGTTTTTCCTTTTTTGGTACATCTTTCCTCCTCTTCCTCCTCCTCCACCTCCTCCCTCACCCTTTTCAATAAGGCGGACCGTGGAGGTAGCATGCCTTTGGTCTCCATGTATCCAGGAGCGACAAGTCTGTCTGCTGTTGCTGCTGCTGATGATCTTTGTCGAGCAATTGTCGCTGCTGCTGATCTTGTTGAGACACCTTAGGCTGGTCTTTTTGCTTTTGTTGCTGCTGCTGCTGGTGGTGGTGGTGTTGGTCCTTCATGAACTGCTTCTGCTGCTGTGTTTGTTTTCTGCTCTCTTGCTGCTGCTCCTCCAACTGCTTCTGTGATTTTCCATCCTTCTCAGGTGAGGGAGAAGGGGCAACCACTTTCGACCCCTTTTTAACAACCTACCGCCATTCACCTGGTCCATCAGTTGACTCGGAGGATTTTTCTTTCGCCACTACCACCTCGGCTGTAGAGGCTGGTTCGGGCATTGGTTTACGGCCGGGACACATTTTGGCCATATGACCGGCGGTGCCGCACAACCAACAGTGCGGCCTTCTGCCTTCAACCACAACAAAGATTTTCCGGTTTCTGCATATTAAGGTATCCGGAATATCCTGAAAATTGGTCCTGTTTACTATTACTTAGACTGAAAAATCCCCAGTTGGCACACCGGCTTTACTCAATATGCGTGCCATCTCCTCCACTTGGCCATACGAGGCAAAGAAGGCTCCTCATATGATCTTCTTTTATATCCGTGCAAAGTCACTCTTGTTCGACGGGTACCCATGTATTCCGTTTGCAACCGCAAAGTTTTCGTCTGTAGAATGTTTCCAGCTAATTGCTTTACTTCTTCTTCTGAAGCTAGCAAAATGTCCCACATTGCATTTGAACGTTTGCATAAAATTTTAGGCACTATTTTGAGACATTTTAGTGCCTCTTCCACAGCCTCCCTGCTGACACCGATAAGTTTTCTGGTTTTGATATCCGACGTCAGAAGGGAGATGGTCCTTATTGTTACCGCCTTCAATGCCTCGGGAACAGCGATTAACTCATTTCCCTGAATAAACTGCTGGTAATCTTCCTTCATTTTTTTATAATAGGCCCCATCTTTTTTTGTCCTAATTCCGTTCCAAACAGTCGAACTTGGAGATGGCGTCTCCGTTTGTGTAACAATTGGCTGGAGAGACTCGGCCATTTTGGTCGACATCTCACCACAACACACAAGGAGAGTTCCAAAACACAAACGACAAAACAAAAGCAAGCTGGTCACAATTAAAGGGGAAAGAAAGGAAATGTCTTGAATATTTATTAAGAGTGGAGTGCTGGAATAATGATGTCTTGGGTGAACCTTTCTAAAAAAAATAAATAAAATGAATCATCATGTCAGCCTATTTGAGACTCTAAGATAAACTCAGACATCAATTCATGAAAAAGAAAAATCAAATCACTTTTTAAAATCAAGGGAATGTATATTTAAAATCCACTTTCGACCAAAATGGCTAAAAATAAATTTTACAATTGAAAGAGAGCAGAAAGAGAAAAAGACTGAGAAAATCATTCTTTCCAATTATCTATCACATATGGTGATGCCAGGGTGGAAAAGAGTTCGACTTAGAATGGGAAGTGAGATCTTCTGGTAAAGAAATGCTGTCTCCTGGCATTTGTTTGCTTTTTAACCACAAAAGAAGATAAAATATTTGATAATCAAGTTAGCCATTATCATTACTTTTTTAAAATTTTTTTAATTAGGTTCAAAAGTGTGAATATAAAGAAAATAAATGGAACTTGAAAGTGGAAGATTTGAAGACAAATATCATCCATGAAGAAATCTTTGATGCTTTAATGGTTTGCAATGGAATCTTGAGAAAAGCAAAAATTCCAGTATATCCAGGAATTGACACATTTTCTGGGCAAATTCTTCATGCACAGCAATATCGAAAAGCTTCAGATTTTTCTGGAAAACGAGTTCTGGTAATTGGCATGGGTCACACGGGAAGTGAAACTGCAGGAGAACTTGCATTACAAGCTAAACAGGTAAGTAAAGATTAGAGATTATACAAATCAATATATATTGTTAATCTTAACTTTTATCTGAACTTGCAAGATGAAATGTTTTGACAATTATTCACACTACAATCTGTATGCTGTTTCTATTATATTTTAAGCAATAAGCTCTTTGTTCTTCTTCACATATGTAATCATATTTTTCAGTCTTTGGATGTCATTTTATTTTCACTGAGGGTGTCATAGCTAAAAAACTTTACTGAACCAAGTGGTTAAAAAATCTTGAATAACATTTTAAGAATATCAAATAATGTAGCAAGATTTTAAGTAGTATAGTGGTAAGTGTGCCTGTCAATCAAATAATAATTTAGGATTTGATTACTGAAGATGAAAAAAGTATTGTGTTTACATTAAAAGAAGTAAGTGTTAATCAGTTGCCTGAAATCACCATCATAGACACAGATTTTACAGAATCCATGACTCTTGAATAAGTGCAACTATTTCTTTGCTGGTTAGAACTCACTGCAGCACAAAGTTGATTACATATAAATGAAATTTAAGCAGCATTCATGCCTTTTAAATCAAACAAAATGAGAGTGTATAAGATTTAAAGATGACAAACTGCAGCACAAGCTCATATAAATGAAATTTAAGCAGAATGGACAGCATTATTAAAAATGAATACAATCTGGAAATGCAAAAATTTTGAAAATTCACTTCTTTAGAAATGGTTTTCTTATGCAGGTCAAACAGTTAGACATTAACAAAATTACTGGTCAAAAGGTCAAAAGGTTTTGATACACTCAGTTATTAGGTCTAAATGTCAGCTGGAAAAAAACATATATAATGATGAACAATATAGGAACCTTGCAAGGATTATGAACCCCATTTGCGAAATGTTAGAGCACTTTAGTTGCCATTGCTGAAGAAATTTAACAAGAGGTTAGTCATCACTTTATACCATGCGAGTCAAATGATGGGAAAAGATCAAGAGGTCAATTAGCAAGAATATTTATTGATCAACTCAGAGATGATACTGGAAACAGAAAGGAATATGGATGACAAAAATAGTTGGAAAGTATTTGCCAAAAGGGTTCATTTGAGATGGATCAGATAAATATGTAGAGCCTATTTTTTTCAGAACTTTCATTGATCAACTCAGAGATGATACTGAAAACAGAAAGGAATAATTATATATGACAAAATATTTGGAAAGTATTTGCCAAAAGTGTCCATTTGCATAGAATCAAATACATACAGAATTTGATTTCCCAAGTTGAGAGATCAGTAAAATTGTTCCCACACCTTTGATATTTATCTCAGAAAATACACAGGGAATTGGTTTTATGGAATAGTAGATTTATTATTAATGATTATTTTCAATAATTTTTCTGGTTGGTTTATATTTGTTTTTTAATGACTATTTTTTTCTTTTATTAGGTTTATTTAAGCACAATAAATGGGAAATGGATGTGCAAAAGATTGACCCCTGGTGGCTTACCATTTGATGTGCAACTCTTCAAAAGAATAAGGCGATTCATTTTAATGCTTCTACCCAAAAGGCTTCAGCAGTTTTGGTTTGAGAATTTTTTATCTTTAAATCATAAATTCTATGGTTTGAATCCAAATTCTTTTATATCTTTAGAAACACTGACATTAAATGATGATGTTATTGATAAAATTGTTTGTGGGAAGGTAATTATTAAACCAAATGTGGAAAAATTTACTGCCCATGATGTTTTCTTTGTAGATGGAACAGTTGCGACTGACATTGACGCTGTAATATTTGCAACTGGATATGAAATAGATTTCCCATTCTTGGAGAAATCAATGCTGAAGATGAAAGATGGTAAACTGCTTGCTTACAAGCACATGTTTCCTCTTGAATTGATTGACAAAAATTTTGCTATAATTGGCTGTATGTATACCTTTGGTGCAGCAGCTCCATTGCATGAGAGTCAGTGTCGTCTGGCAACTCGGGTATTCAAGGTAATGATTTTTGTTGTTATTTATATGTCATTAACACTTAGTGTTGATTCTTATCCATTTTTTTCTTATAAGTTAACTACAAAAAAAGTCAAAGTGAGATGATTAAAACTTTTAACTGATTTTACTTGATACTATATTTTATATCATATAACTATTGCAGTATTAAAATATATATATATATATATATATATATATATATATATATATATATATATGTATAAATGCAGTCTTCTGGAGAGCAAGGAAGAGCGTATAGCTTCCATCTCTAAAGTAGTTGAAGAAGAGACCTGATAGTTATAAAAATAAGCACTGATGTTTACCTGGGCTCAAACACTTGACAACTGAAGCCAATGTGCAACTGTCTCAGTCAACTGATATAATAAACATGGGTTGCTGTTGAGAAGGGGTAAGATGCTGCAAAGCCTCGTTCCTCTATTCACCTACAGCTTCCATCATCACTTATAGTGTCCACCAGTGTATCTATTAAATGATGTCTTTTACAAAACTAGCTGACATCTGTATCAAAAATAATTTTTACAATGTTTACAAAATGTTATAAGTTTCCCTACTACCCTCAGATTCATTAATGATTCTATTGAGATGAAAAAATTGGGCTTTTCTTTGAATATAAAGCCAATTCATGCTATAATTAATTGTTGGCCATTCTTAGATTTCTATTTGTCCATCTACCAATCAACTAAGCAAAGAAGAAGGCAAAAGAGAATGGAAATATTCTTAGAAAACCATATTGTCTTCTGAATTGTCATTTACTTCAAATAATCAACTGAGAATAAAAAAAAAAATGATATCTAATTTCTTTTTCATCAAGCATAGGAGATCAGTCCAGAAAGTATCCAGCCATTTAATACAATGATACCTTAATCTCTTTCTCTCTGATTGGTTGTCAAATTTCATCAAGATCAAACAAAACATTCTTGAGATATACAAAATGGCTTGATTAATGATGCAAACTTTTGAAGAGAATAAACAAAAATTGATTAAAAGAGAAAAGTCTTTTGTAATAAAAGGCAAACCTATAATAAATGTTACAATTTTTCATATTTTTTCCTTTTCTTTAATAAGTTAAATTGTTGCAATGTATTAAGATTAATAATGGCTTAAATATTTCCTATTTGTGTGAATATTTGAAGGTATTTGGTGACTTTTCTGCAAGTAAATAAATGTGAGATAATTTTATTTCATAACAAAACTATGATTTTGTATTCTGAGGAAATAGAATAATGATTTTATCAAATATCATCATCTGAGTTTGCTAAATTTTTTGGGTTTTCTTTCAGGGCCTAGTAAAGTTACCCCCAAAAGAAGTGATGCTTGAAGAGATCAATGCAACACTTGACACCCAACGGAGTGTTGATGTCATAGGCTATCAGGATGAGTTGTGCGAACTCATTGGTTGTAAACCCAAATTATGTAAGTATATCATTAACGAGATTGTTATGGCCTTTAACTAGATTAAGATTATGTCTATTTTTGGAATAATGTATGTATCAATTATAAACACATGCATATCTATCTATCTATATATATGTCTATGTCTCTCTCTCTCCATATATATATATATATATATATATATATAATTATGGAGAATTTGTCTGTTTGATGTCCATGACCAAGCCACTTTATGTATTGTTGTCAAGTTTGATGCATATTTTTTTTATTCAATGGTCGGTTTTAAACTGAAAAATTGACTTTGTTGGCAACAGCACTTATCATTGTAAATGTTGAAATAAAAACAACTGCCAACTTAATAATAACTGTCTAACTAGTGATATAATATATAAAGCAACAGATAACATTAACACAGAAGAAAAAATTCATATAGAAGCAATTGAAACAACTTTTAAAGAAAGATTTAATAAACATAACATGTCATTTAATACAGACAGATACTCAAATAACACAACATTATCAAAATATATATGGAGTCAAAAAGAAAAATATATCAAGTAAAATCAAATGGGAAATCATAAAACGTACCCCATATAATATTAGTAATAGGAAATGTAGACTGTTTTTAGAAGAAAAAATTATATAATAAATTTCAATAATCAAATTAAATTATTAAATAAAAGAAATGAATTAATGGGTAAATGCAGACATTTTAATTAATATTTAATTTGCAACTTAATAATATAACATAATATAATAAATACAACAGAAAATAATATAAATTAAATAATGATATAACATAATAAACACTATATATATATATATATATATATATATATAAAGAATTAAAGATATACATACAAACCAAAATAACAATGAAAAATAAAAATTACAAAATATACAATTGAAAATCAATTATGTTTATGAAGGAACACGTGGGCACATATAGAAACATGAATGGAATTAAAAAACACAAATATGAAAATTGAAAAAAAAACAGATATTCATTATAATTGGAAATATTTAATATATGGATTAGCCCCTTGAAAAGGAGACCATGAAACTGCAAAGTCAAGAAAAATTACAGTTAGTTCTTTTGGTAAGTTGTCTGTTGGTCACACTAACATTGTCAGGTTTTTTAGTGGATAGATAGATAGATAGATAGATAGATAGATAGATCCCTTGCTTTCATATTGATATATTAATAATTTCTGCTTTGTTGCTAATGAAATAAAGTATTTTCATAAAGTTTCCCTTAAGTTTGGACATTTAAATGATTTTCTTTTTAGGTGAGCTGCTCTTATCAGATCCGTACCTTGGACTGAATGCCATTGTTGGCCCTTGTACTCCCTATCAATTCCGTTTGACTGGCCCTGGAAAATGGGCAGGAGCAAGATCTGCCATACTTGATCAATGGAAACAAATGCATTACCCGACAAATAAACACCTGAAATCAAATCTATCACCATGGATAAAAGACTTTCTAATTGCATTTGGTATATTTTTTGTGATGATTCAATTTCTTGTCTTTGGAATATTCCTGTCAAAATAATTCTGAAGGAATGCATTTCTGGAAAGGTTTCCCCTCCCCACTTTCTCTTTCAACATAAATAAATGAAAATGTTTTTAATTTTCTCTTTCAACATGTATGTATAAAAGTGCTTTTTTTTTCTTTCAACATACATGTATAAAGATGTTTTTTTCTCTCTTTTAATATGGATTTTATATTCTAGATATATTTCTCTAACATATTTCCTGTAAATTGTCAGAATTGTTGTCATCAATTATAAAAACAAACAACCCAAAAGAAAACATTAAACAGTTTAAAGTTTAAACTAACATTTTCTGATCTTTATCTTATCATGTGATCATCTAACCATAAACAATTTCCTTCAAGAATTCTTTGATTTTATTTTGTTCTCATCACATTCATTTCTCTTAAAAAGTTTATAATCTATATTGCTTTCTATTTATGATTTATGAAAAACAAATCTCACATGTTTCATGTAACATTTTAGAATAGTGCAAGGGAGATGAATTAATTTGGCTGGGTGGGGGTTAACTGGTTAAGATAGTCTTTAAATTGTTTTCTAAAAATTAATAAATTTCTTCCATATGCAGAAATGATGGTTTATTGTTATGTATTTTATGAAAATGTGTAAAGAAAATTTCAGTTTATCACAAGTGACTAAACTCTGTCAAGTTTAACAAAGCTTGTAGCAGCTCACTAAATCACTGTTTTTACTAGCAATAATTGTGGCTTACCAATAACAGGATTTATTTATTAATCCATCTGGGGATAAGACAAAATACAAGAAGAGGTACATGCTGGCAGTTCCCAAGTAGATTAGTGCAGTTAGAATTGATTGCTAATTAGCTGATGATTTTCGAAAAATTAGCAACAAATTACACATTTCTTTCAAAATTATGTTTTCCAAAAAAGGGTAGGAAGGAGAGTAACTTATAAATGTTGACGTTTCATGTACTGAATTTTTATCATTTCGGCATATAATCTTCAAAAATTTAAATACGTCAATTGCCATCTTCTATCTTCTTGAATACCATTCATCTTTTATCCTTTCCTCAATCCCTCCTATAACCAGTTCTTTTCTCTCACTTTCACTCTCATGGCATTCCCGCCTTTTTTGGGGTAATATGATAAAAAAATATACTTCATGCTGGATAGATAATGATTATAAAAAAATTAGAAAATTAAAACAAAAAGATATAAAATAATTAAAAAAATATAAAATAATTAAAATGAGATATAAAATAATTTGAGAATAAAATGAGATATAAAATAATTTGAGAATAAAATGTATAATGTCTGAAAAAAATCATGTTTATTTAAATTTTCTTGTTCTATACTTCATAGACATTTTTATAAAATTATGAAGAAAAATTTGTTTTCATATTTATTCATAAAATGGTAAATAATAAATATTGCTTAATTGGTTCTCATATTTTAATAATTTTGTAACTTTTAATAATTTTTGAATAAAAGTTTTCTTTTCAAAATTATTACTTTATAAAATGATAAAGATTAAATCCTTATAAAATGATAATTAATAATAATGATAATAATGATAATTAATAAATATCATATTATACCTAATTCACATATTTTTATAATCTTGTAAATAAACATTGACAATGGAGTCTCAGTCATATACATTAATGAAGGTGACAACAGAAAATGCATCTTTTCAACACACCCTTTTTTTTGAGAGGAAAAAGGTTAAAATTTGCCAAAATTTTTATTCCTCTATTAAAGAGAATATACTAAATGATTTAGCTAAACAATATATAAATATTTCTGATGATGAAATATACATAATGTAACATTGCAGAAAAATCAATATTCTACAATAAAAATGTATGGATAAAAAGAAGGCAAGATGTGAATACTGATGTCACCTAATACTTTTTATGATGTACACGATGGACTGTATACATACTTATATACTCAACTTTACATTTGTATTATTTAGAACAGTTACAAATTATAAGACAAATAAATAAGATATTGGTATGAAACAAAATTTATTTTTAATATAATTAAAGTTGAATTAACAAGAAAAGAAGTTGTTTTAAGTCTATTATCTTCTTAATTTGTATGAATTCCTTTATTTAGGAATAGGTAGTTTTTTTTATAGTAGTGGAAGAGTGAGAGTTTCTTTGTTACATTAACATAGTTGTGAGTTGTATATATATATATATATATATATATATATGAATGTTCATAGTGATGGTGGAGGAAACAAAAGATACCTTGAAGGAAATTACTGCTGGTTTTAACTCGGTGTGAGGATTTGAATTTGAAATAGAAAATTATATTCTGAATATTCCTTGTGTTTCAGAAAAAGATGTAGATTGGACGATTCTTGTTGCTTAATGAATTTATTCCTCATTTCTTTTTGGTGGTAGGACTTATGAGTTGAAATTTTTGTTGAAGAATCAGATTTGTTTAAAGCCTTTTTTGCATATAGTCTCAACATTCAGTTACTGCGGTATTTTTTCATGATATTGATATTTTTTTTCATTTTTGTAGTTGATTAGTTGTGTACTAAAAAGATGAATGGTTAATGTGTAGTTTTCTATTTGGAGACAAGTAACATGTTGAAATTGACATGTAGGTGAGTAATTTGGACATTGTCTCTTGTTTAAAAGAATTTGTATGCAAAGATGAACATATATTTATTGGTTTAGAGGTAGCCTCTTATTTAAGAGGACTTTGAAATTCTTTCCATTGATATTTTCTGACTGGTTAGGAGAGATAAATTGATATAAGAATTTTCTTTTCTTTATCCACTTTTTGAACATAGTTGAACTTTATAAAACTAGGATAAAATTGTACTCTACAATACTAATTAATTTTAGTTAGTATCATGTCTTTGAAGACATATTCTGCTGATTGCTATACTTCATGTATGACTTTTAATCTGAATAAAATGTTTTAAAAAGTTTTTTCTTATTAATTTGCTATTTATTTATTTCTGATATTGATAAATTCTATCAACTTCTACTTAACCTCTTTTACAATATTCCTGTTCTGTTTTGCTAAGGCAATAAAATGTCTATTATTAAATGTACATCATTCTTTGTAATTTGTAGGATTATTTTTATTATTATAAATAAAATAAAATAAAACAATAACATAAAAACATTGTATAAAATAAATTAAATATAAATAATAAATTTACTCCCAGCATGCAACAAAAACGATTCCTGCCGGAGCTAAGGACATCCTACCAAAAGACCTTAAATTCAATCTCTTCACCACGAACCTTGATACGGGCAACACATTCCCAACTTCTCCCTATTATATGGCTTGTTATACTACAGAGTAAATTTCTCCCTTTTATTACTTGTATCATAAAACAATTGTAACTTAAAAATACACACAGCAATACACACAAAAATATAAATAAATTGTATAAAATTAACATACAATTTACCATGTTTTTCCTTTTATTTGTGTACCTTTTATTCCCAGTCAAGTATGCTTTTATCTCCGTGAACACATGGCTGATTTCTGCTGCTATGATGTGAGTGAATAACCACCCACAAATTGAGTCCCATCTCCTGTTCGAAAAAATATCCTATATGTCTATAATAAATCTCTCTTACAGAAATATACATTGTAGGATATTATTGTTACAAATAATAATAACAATGATGATGATGATGATGTAAATTATAAATAAAACAAAACAATAATATTTAAACCTTGTTTAAAATAAATTAAATAAAAAAAAATAAATAGAATTACTCCCAGAATGCAACAAAACTGTTCCTGCCGGAAATACCGACATTCCGCCAAAAGACGTGATATTCAATCTTTTTCGCCCAAGAACCGTCGGGATGACAACATGTGTGTAACTTTCCTCCGTGACTGGACTTGATATATTACGGAGTAAATTGCTTCCTTTTATAACATGTAACACAATTTTAACATACAATACACACACAAATACATAAATAAATAAAATTGTACGAAATTAACATACCATGCTTTTTCTGTTCTGTGTGCGTTTATTTTTCTAGTTTTAATTTTTTACACCGAAAATCGCAAAGACTTGTTTGTTAAAAAAAAATGCACTTTCTCCTTCAATTGTCAGTCAGATATTTTCTTGTTGGTCAGTTAAAGAGTCTTTAATGATTTTATAGTGAGTCCAGATAAAAATAAAAAATATAAAAAACATATATAAAGAAATAAAAAATATAAAGAAAATATATAAAGGAAAATAAAAAGAATTCAAATTAAAATAAGACATTTTCTCTTTCCTTTAAAATCCTTTTCTCTTTCTTTCTAAACTTCTCTTTCTATACTTTCCTCAATTAACGAGAAGGCAACCCCGAAATAAAAAGAGGAAGATAAGAAAAACAGAACCCGGCCGAAAACCGCCGGAAGTTTGCAGGATCAGAGCATACTGATTTGTGACTGAAAAATACTAAAAATCAAAGAGGTTCCGTTATGAAGAAAAAAAAAAAAAAAAAAGAAGAAAGGAACGCCGGAAAATGAAATAATTTTGGCATATAAAAAAAAATGACACAAAGAGATTTTTGGTGTTAGCCGAAACGGATGTTGGCTCCAGAATATCGGAGCCTCTTAAAAAGGATATAGACCTGATAGCTCTGAGCCAGGAGTGGAAGAAAATCTGCAGGAGAGGACGGAACTAAAGAACGCTACTCCGGAGAAACTAGACATGCGTGACAAGTGAAGAAGACGTTAAAAGGTTATTTGCTAATGATATTTCCGCCCTACTTAGAGCCGAGAAAAACATAGTAGATTGACAGTGACCTATTTCTGATATTGCTACTACCTCTGGTCTGACTTCAAAAACTACACTATTGGACTTTCTTTCGACTGCTACCAATATCCGCCTTATAAACATTTCGCTATAGCGAATATCAAAGGACTCACTCTAAAGCAAATAAATAAAAATGTATTATATACCCTTGTTCCACTTTGTTTTATTTCAAAGTATCCAGTAAAGAGAATCCTTGCACAATTTCTTTTCCAATGGTTTGATTATAAAATGTTAGTGT